CTATTTAACGATATCTGAATAACCGGTTTTTACTGGGACACCAGGCAATTTTCGGTGAACCTTTTGAGTCAATTTGTTCGAACTGCAGTCAGTGGGTAGGTAAGTGGGGATCACAATTCTTTATATGCATTAACTGTACTACTTAGTTACAACATAGGACGTGTACGCTTGCCAATTGGACCCAGTCAAGCAGTGCATTTTCTACCTTAGGACTTGAAGTAATACCTACAGTAAAGATCCCACGACAGCTAGCCACTGAATATCCAGAAACTCGAGGAGCAAATTTTATAGAATTTCTATATTGGTGTGATGACGTTAAGCGAGTAGTCATACCGGTATCCTGTATGAGTGTCTTAAACACAGAACACGTCTATGGCCTGAGATTACTAAATTTTGGTTAGCAAAGCTTGCTATCCAACCTCGCCTGGTTAACTAGTTTACTAGTTACTAGCCGGTCCTAAGCCCGGGTAAAGAGGGAAGGTTGGGCATAGAGCTAGCAACCCTACCCCAGAAAACAACTTCAACCGCTAAAGAAACTTCAAAGCACAAACAAAATATAAAAAATAAAAACAAACTTATTCCCCGCTGGAATCGGAGAGGCGAAATGACGCCAGTTGGTGAAAGCCTTTGGGAAGCCAATTGGCCGATGTATCTTCTCTCCCTCGATGAAAGCGAAAGTAAACGTGGGGACATGGAATGTCCGTACGATGTTTGAACCCAGTAAGGCAGCCCAGATTGCAAAGGAGATGAGAAGGTATCACATCGAAGTGCTTGGAATTTGCGAAAGCAGATGGAATGGGAGTGGACTCTCCAAACTGTCAACTGGAGAATCAATAATCTACTCCGATAGTGTCACCCAGACGCCAACCACGAGCACACTGAGGGAGTAGCTATCATGATGTCCTCAAGAGCATCGAAGGCTCTCATGCAGTGGGAACCAATCTCTTTCGGCATCACGATCATGACAGCAATATTGGTTCAACTCAAAAGCAAGGAAGGTCACAATCATACAATGCTATGCACCTACAAATAATGCAGAGCAAGAGAAAAAGGAGGATTTCTACAGACAACTTCAATCAACACTGGACAAGACGTCAGTTGTTCGCAGAATTCTATGCATTCAAAGATTTGGTGATTGGAGGCAGTGTGTTCAGGCACAAAGATATCCACAAAGCGACATGGATTTCACCAGACACCACGCACACACTAAAAATCAAATCGACTTTATCTCAATCTCAAGAAAATGGAGACGCAGTCTACTCGACACAAGGTCAAGAAGAGGAGCAAATGTTGGTTCAGACCACTATCTTGTGCAAGGAACCTTCCAAATCAAGTTGAAAGCCTTTAAGGAAACTGGTGATAGACCTCAATTCAAGTACAACACTCGGAAACTGAAGGATGAAACTACAAAGGAGATCTTCAAGGCAGCCAGCCATCAAGACAAAATGGGAGATATCGAGCAACATCCCTGAAGAAACCTGTGTGGAAGAACACTGGAAGTCTTTGAAAGCTATGTGGAAAGAAACCTGCACAACAGTATTAGGAAGGAAGAAGAAAGAAGATAAGGAATGGATCTCGACGGATACCTGGAAGCTGATAGAGGAGAGGAGGATGGTGAAGCAGAAGATAAACCAGTGCAAGGATGCTCAACGACAAGAGGAACTGAGCACAATGTATAAAACACTAACTGGACAAAGAAGTGAAGAAGAGTGCACGGAAAGACAAACGACACTTCTACGACACACTGGCAAGTGAAGCAGAACAGGCTGCAGGTAAGAGAGACCTGACGACATTGTATCAAATAACCAGGTTGCTATCAGGGAAGAGACCAACACAGATGAAACCAATAAAAGATGAAGAAGGAAATTTAATTACAAAAGAAGAGAAACAGAGGAAACGATGGGCCGACCACTTCAAGAAGCTTTTGAATCGACCACCACCACCACCTGCACTTCGTCCAGAAATACCACCTGCAGCCGCTGAATTACAAGTGAACATAAATCCCCCAACGAAAATGGAAGTCCTGAACGCCATAAAGCTACTGAAATGCGGGAAAGCAGCAGGACCAGATGGAATACCGCCAGAAGCACTGAGAACAGATGCAGAGACAACAGCGGACATGCTCACACCACTATTGCAGAAGGTGTGGAAGGAAGAGAAGGTACCTGACGATTGGAAGAAGGGTTACCTTGTCAAACTGCCGAAGAAGGGAGACCTGAGTGCTTGCAAGAACTGGCGCGGAATCACTCTCCTGTCCACCCAAAGTAAAATATTAAGCCGCATCATCCTAGAGAGGCTTAAAGACGCACTGGATTCAAAACTGCGACCGGAACAGGCAGGCTTCAGGAAGTACAAATCATGTGCAGACCAAATTGCAACGCTTCGTATCATCATAGAACAGAGCATAGAATGGCAATCAGCTCTCTACCTCAACTTCATCGACTTTGAGAAGGCCTTTGACAGCGTCGACCGAGAAGTAATTTGGAAACTGCTTCAATACTACGGAGTACCACAAACCTTTATCCGCCTCATTCAACAACTATATGAAGATGCCACATGCCAAGTAATCCACAATGGAAAGCTCAGTGATGCCTTTGAAGTGAAGACAGGAGTGAAACAAGGTTGCCTACTATCCCCCATGATATTCCTTATTGTGGTGGACTGGATCATGCAGCAAACAGTAGGCAGCGAGAAGAGGGGGATACACTGGACGACGGAAAAGAACCTAGAAGACTTGGATTTCGCCGATGACTTATGCCTAATGTCACACAAACTTGAAGATCTGCAGGCAAAAACTAACAAGTTGATAGAAGAGGCAGCTAAGACGGGACTTCAGGTGAATATAGAGAAGACAGAAGTGATGAAGATACCGCACCACCACCATCAACAACAACAACAAACTCCAATCACCGTCAACGGGAGAAACTTAAAGGAAGTAACCTCCTTCACTTATCTAGGAAGCACTGTTTCAACTACAGGCGGGACGGACGAGGACGTCAAAGTCAGAATCGGAAAAGCAAGACAGGCGTTCATTAGCCTGAAACCAGTGTGGAGATCTTCTGCACTCAGCATGCGGAACAAGATACGGATTTTCAACACCAACGTCAAGTCAGTGCTCTTGTATGGTTCAGAGACTTGGCGCGTCACGAAAGGCATTTCCAATAAACTACAGACATTCATCAACAACTGCTTACGCTCGCTGCTGAAGATCAGATGGCCAGAAAAAATAAGCAACAAGGAACTCTGGGAACGAACCAACCAAGAACCTATCACACAACAAATATGCAGGAAGAAGTGGAGATGGATTGGCCATGCACTGAGAAGGCCGACTGAGGACATCACGCGTCAGGCCAGGTACTCGAGTGGAATCCCCATGGGAAGCGACGAGTTGGACGTCCGAGGGTGACATGGAGGAGGTCATGCGAGGAGGAAATGAGAGCTTCTGGGCTGTCGTGGAACCAGGTTCAAAAGATCTCAGAGAACAGAGGTCACTGGAGGCGTGCTACTGAAGCCCTATGTTCCACTAGGAACCCAAGGGACTAATAATAATAATATAATAAAGCTTGCTATCCAATTTGACGAAAGTTGAGGACATTGAAAACTTCGATATGTAGTTTATATATCTGCATCAGTGGAATACGATACTGTTTTTGAACCTCACTAGTTATTAAGGGCCGAAGAACTGGACAAAACTAAGGATGATGTACGGACATTTGCTGAGAGATGTGAAGACAGAGCAATTATGTCAAAGTTTATAGTGATCTTTAGGAAACCAAGTGCTGACAGTTTTGAAGGCGTTTAACACCTTCCAGCCTTCTGCACTGTGCAAAGTTACGCCTTCATTGGTTAGCTGAGTACGGTTTTCCTCCTTACTGTCAAAAGTGATGTCTTCTTGGGATACCCGAAAAAGAAATTTTATTAGTGATATTGATGTGTCACCGCAGAGGTTAACGAAAATCTGGTTGAAACTAGTCACAGCCATTCTGAAAACTAAAATCTAACTTCAACTTTGTTGAATACAATTATAGAAACAATACTGCTGGGATCAGAAGACCATAAAACATGCGACTGCCATTTTCGGGCTGAACTTATCTAACACAGTCTTCACATTGGGAAGGCAGCATTAGCATGGACTGCTAGTCATCTACGGGAAATACCATACAACTGTCGCACTTCACTCAGCAAACAGTAAGACTTCCCCTAGAAACTCATATGACAGTATAGCCATTTACACTATTATTGTAACTGCTTTTCATTTTATCACCATCCGAAAATGTTTCTAATACAGTAGAACCCTAAGGAACAAATGTTCCTGTCACCATAGTTCCTTGGGTCATTGTGTTAAGTCCGACGACCGTGTCAAGGTAGCAGTTATTGATTGGGAGAAATCATGGAGACTGACTATACCATATATAAAGACACTAACTGCGGGTATGAACAACCTAAAAAAGTTTAGCCACATAACTAAGGTTCAAGAGCTGAAAGTGCTACATATGCATTTTTGGACTGACTGGAAAGGGCTGACAGAACACTGTCCGATTAATTTAGTACAATGCTACCATACAGTTGATTAAGAACTAATTCAGCGAAGAAAATTTTTTTTTCGACGATATCATTTTATAAAGCTGTACAATCATATCATAAACATATAACAGTCTATTACAAAACATCATTAACTTAGTGCTAAAAACCGCAATCAAGAATGCAAAGTAGAACTCTTGACAAGATTGACTGCATATATATATATATATATATATATATATATATATATATATATATATATATATATATATATATATATATATATATATATTATATATATCCTCGTGTACTGAGCTATGAAAAGCAACTTCATACTGAGATAAACTGTCCTTCAGGATGAATCACTTACGCATTCATGGAACTATCTTAAATAGTGGTAGGTTTAAATTCTGTGTGGATTACATGGAAATATTTTCGAAATATGAATACTTGGTGAGCGAAAGTACGTTAACACTTACTTTATCAATGCAGTAGATTCGTCTTTTCGATCGTGCTGGAATATTGTTCATCTCGTTTGAATGTCTTAATAAGTCCGAAGATTCCCTTAGTTGTTCAGTGAGTAGAGCATCATTTTTTGAAGGTAAATCTAAGTTAATCAACTGAAATTAATTGATTTGTGTAGTCTGATTCGTCTGTAAAGTAGCAACCCAAGTAAAAAGTAGCCAACCAAATTTATATCGATAACTCGCGAAAAATCACACAGAAAATTATAGATACCAGTTGTCTCGTGAGCAGAAACATTTAGTAGGACAGATCTTACTTCGGAGGGACTTGATTGGCTTTCAGAAGGACCATTCAGATCCGAGTAATGATTATTTATGTGAAGTATTATTAAACCGATAAGTATTATGGTAACAGTATGCTGTTTAGCATCGGAAAAATTTGGCTTCATAGAATGGGTTGCAAGGTTATGCATGTTTACGGGGGACCGTCCCATGTAGGAAGAATGATGAGATGAGCACGAATAACTGCGACGACGCGTTGAGCTAGTTAGTTTCTCGCTAAATTAAAAACAAAGAATGATATTAGATGGTCTTTTTCCAGATAGAAAACGTTAGGGGAAACCTTAAGTCTTTAAATTTTAATAAGCTAATGAAACTCAACAATGTACATCAAAAATTTGCATATAAGCCTAGAAAAACTACACTAATTGAACACGACATTGTATAGTGTCGTAATTTGTCTTCTAATACTCATGAGCTTAAAAGAAGCACACTAGCAGTGATACCAAATTTTGGACGGTATAAAAACTATCGAAAGCATCACGAGATTATACTACAGGATCTCCACATGGAGATGTTCAATCTTGAAGGACACCAAGTCACTTAGTTTCACATACAGATGGTAAGCCCTATCGTATGACTACGATTGGTAATATTGTATTTCATTTCTCAACAGTGAATTTAATATTTAAAAAATATGCATCACAGTATTATGCTTATGTTTGCTTTTGGTGATGATGCACAAGACATTTTACCGAAGATTATCCGCTACTCTCAAAAAGCAAGAGGTTTTCTTTTGTAGCAATATTTTAGACTTCCCAGCTACAACATTTAGATTACTAACCATATGACTGTATGAAACTGATGGCTTGAACTTAATGATCATGATAAGATACTATTCAGCTTAAAAACTTTTAAAAATCAAAATTGAAGAGAAATGTTGAGATCCAACCCTGGTCAATCTTTGAATTTTTCAGCAGAATATCAATTAGGAGCCCAAACATTGAGGGATTTTAGGGAACTTTTCATTCACAGAAATGTAATCGAATTTAAGTACACTGATCGCAAAATACTCACTCACCAATAGAATCCCTTGACTACAGATTGCTGATAGGTTAATAATAAATGGATCCTCAAATCGCCTATGTTAAAAACAACTAGCGTATCACGAATCTACTTGCAACATATGTTTTCACGCAGTAATAACTCATTAAACAGAGTAATTTCTCAGGCAAAATAACTTCTCATGATCACATTAACAATCAAAATTTTAAGTCACAACAGAGCAAGATCAGCTGCCTTCAAGGAATCTAAAAATATCCAAGTTAAGAAGTTCAGCAACCTTATGGAAGAAAAATATTCCGTTGGAAATAATAAGGTTTATACTGGGTGATGACTGAAGGTGAGATTAAAATCTGGACTACGACCGGATTCGAAACAGCGACAACCGGGTTCGGGTCCGAATCCGGCCGTGGTCAAGATTTTCATCTTACCTTCAATCATCATCCAGTATGAATGCTAGTCTGCCGAACTACGGCTATCTCAGATAGTCAAATGATAATCAATAATAAGATTACCAATACCATATCACCAATAATCGGATAAATCAAAATGGGCTTTCAATCTGCCGACTAGAATCTCAAGCTCAGAAGCAAAGGTACTGGAGAATGGCCTTAACTTCAGTGTAGTCGCTAATGAACTGAAATCAGAAGATGCCACTCCTAAAACAGAAATACCATTAAGTTCAGTAGACAAGACAACTACAGATGAGGTGCGAACACAATGTACACTAACGCTAAAACGATAGAAAACGAAACCAAATTTACCAAAACCAGAAAGAGAAGCTCTTTAAAACCATCTAAATGATGACAATATACTAATTACGAAATCCAATAGTGGCAACTTAATGATTGTGGTGGACAGATCTGGTTAGATTTGCGAAGCAAACAAAAATACAGAAACAGGGCCATATGAAGAAATTAAGAAACCAGTTGACACTATTATGAATAGGATTATGAAATCCACAGATCTAATACACCGAATGGAGCTGTTCCTAGGTGAGTCAATAGGGTTTGATTTAATGCCGAAAACTAACAATCACAGTAGATTTCATTGCACTATCAAGATTCATAAGCTGAGTTATCCCATCAGACTCATAACAGATTTTTGAAACACTGACTTATAGGTTATCTAAACATTTAAAGATGGTGCTACGTCTGATAAGGAAATATTCAAAATCTCAACTTACTCTTATGAATTAAAGTATAGATTAGAAGACATACAAATACATAACAATGAAAAGACGGTTGGTTTGGATTTAACTAGACTTTACACTAATAAACCAATCAATGTGACTCTGGAGGCACGTAGAAATTGACTCAATGATAACTATGAGCTTAAACACTGAACTAAGGTTCCAATCAAGGAAATCATGCTAGGAGTGGATTTATGCCTGACGTTCGGTTTCAAAATACAACACATGAACAAATGAATGGAGCAGCCCTAGCATCACCGATATCCCCTATCGTCCCCCTTGGCCCTGCTCCATGGATATGGTTTAAATACGTAGAGTACATATTAAGAGCACTGAAAATTGGAGCACAATAATAGGTTCTTTCAATACAGACATTTAGTAGTGAAAGCAGTTCGACTCACTTACAACTTACTAAGTAAAAAAGGTGAGTTAGCGATGATGCATTGCAAGATAAAACGAAAACAAACAGATCAGAGTAAATAAGAAAACTGTCCATTTGAATAATTATTATTATTTGTCTCTTGGGTTCCTAGTGGAACATGGAGCTTCAGTAGCACGCCTCCATTTCACTCTCTTCTCTGTAGTCTCTTGAACCTGGCTCCACGACTGACCACAAGTTTTCATTTCTTCCTCACACAAGCTCCTCCATGTCACCCTCGTCTCAGACGCCCAACTCGTCGTTTCCCCTTTAGATTTCACTCGAGGGCCTGGTCCGACGCGAGATGTCACCGAATGGTCTTCTTAGTGTATGTCCAATCCATCTCCACTTTCCTCCGCATATTTGTTGGGCTATGGGTTCTTGGTTGGTTCGGTGTCGGCCAGTCAGAGTTTCTTGTTGCTTATTCTTCTTATTCTAGCCATCTGATCTCCATCTTCAGTATTGAGTGAGAGTAGGCGGCAACTGTTGATGAATGTCTGTAGTTTGTTGGAAGTGCTTTTCGTGACTCGCCAAGTTTCCGAACCATATAAGAGCACTGACCTGACTAATATTAGTGTTGTAAATCCCAATCTTGTTCTTTATGCTGAGTGCAGTGCAGTAGATCTCCACACTGATTATTTCAGATTCATGAGGACCTGTCTTGCTTTCTGATCCTGGCTTTGACATTCTCATCTGTGCCGCCGCCGCCTGTAGTTGAAACGATGCTGCCTAGGTAGGTGTGTGTGAAAGAGACTACTTCCTTTAGGTTTCTCCCATTCACGGTGATTGGTGCCTCTTGTTGTTGATGCTGTTGTTGGTTGGGTATCTTCATCACTTCCGTCTTCTCTACATTCACTTGAAGTCCCGTTTTCGCTGCCCTGCCTCTTCTGTCAACTTGTTGGTTTTCTCCTGTAGATCTTTGAGTTTGTGCTACAAGACATTAGACATAAATCATCGTCATCGGCAAAATCCGAATTTCCTGGGGTCTTTTCATCGGTCCAGCCAGCGCATGCTCATCTTCTCGCTCCTCATGATTTGCTTCACGATCCAGTCCAGTCGACCACAATCAGGAAGATCATGGGTGATGGTAGGCGGCAGCCTTGTCTTACTTCTGTCTTAACTTCAAAGGGGTCACTGAGCTTTCCATTGTGAATCACTCGACATGTAGCACCATACAGCATATATCTGTTGAATGAGGTTGATAGAGATTTGTGGCAACTGCCTGACAAATTACTGACAAAGTAACTTGGATAGGAGCTTTATAGGTAAAAAGATTTTATTGATCTCATTAGGCAAAACAATTGAGTTCACCGAAACTCTTGCAATGATTGCGAGGTCGAATAAGTGAGTCAAAGTAGTTGGGCAGGACCGATAAGACTGTCCTAGCACAAAAACTTAACTAAACCAAGAGTAGTAGATCCTAATAAGACAAAGAATTAGAGGAAAAACTCGGTTATAGCTACGCATGCAGTTACACACAACCATACAACAATGAGGGATACAGTAAGTATTAAAAAACAACTTCAGATGGATGAAAAAATAAATTGAGGATGGAATCTCTGCTAATCAAATCAACACCAGATAGTTTCAACCGAAGTGACTCAGCACCTGTTCCAGATATGTAGAAAATCCCATTACACGATATCAAAAAAGAGAATCAGAACTATATAAACTTAGTCTCGAGGTTGTGGGATTTTTTGATATGAATATGGATAATGATCTGCGAAACACAGTCCGGTAAATAATAATTTAATAAACAGACTAAAAGGGAATTGAAGTCAGGCGCATTCAGTAGATATCTAGTGTCTTTAATTTTATTGGCTTACTCATCTAGAAATGAATACATGTTGTTCAATTCCTATCGGTTACAACTATTTGAAACATCGTGTATAAATATACACTAAGTGATTGATGTTTCCTTCCACTTAATTTGATTATTGGTGCAGTGAAATGCTCAAAGCCCTATATGAACAGCTACTACTGAACGTTTTGTAAATTTTTCTGAACGCATCTTCTCCAGAGATTCGATTTATAGTTTATCTTTTATTTTCACTTTGAATTTTCAGTGACTAATAATTTTCATCCACATAACATGATAGTCATACAGACAAATGAGAAAAATATGTACAGAAAATACTGCAAGATGATTTACGTTGCTGAATATCACATGGAAGTCACTACATTGTGCTTTCTGCACAGCATGCTGTGAAACATCACGTGACAAATCGATTCAGTTCACAATTCACATGCTTCTTTTCCACGAACTGAAGTGAGACGCTTTTTTAGTTCACTGTTTACGCTAGACCAGCACCATTCTAGAAGTCTTCATTTGACCAGTTATAAAAATTGAATATCTTTACATCTAATATAGTCAGCCCTCATATACTTGTCAAATGAAAAACTGCTTCACAAAAGATCTTTTACTCATACAGTTAATACAGTGTAAGTATACAAACTTAACGACAACAAAGTGTTTGCATCAACAGAAGTCACATGCATGTTATAGAACGTAATACAACTGAACTGTATGTGTAAAATTCATAAGTACGTGATAAAAAAGAAATGAAGTATATACAGACGGATAACTACATAGTTTTCACTGATTTTTAGGTAACGTTACCAAACATTCTGGTGCGTGAAAACTAATTTACAAATGTATAATGTTCAGTGCATTATACTGACTTATTAACCTATGTAGTGCTATTTACATCCTTACATGATAAGTCGGAAATTTTATGACCGGAAAAAACGAAAACGGTATCATGAGATTAATATCAGAGGAAATGAGTACTTGACATAAGAGAAGAAACTATGACCAACTAAAATAAATGTACCTTAATCTGCTACAGATGTCTATATAATAATAGGGTATGAATCACACTTATTGTCTGAAGGCTTATGATGCTACCGTGGCCGAAGTAGGTGCAATTGAGTTTGAACCCAATACCCGTGGTTGTACGTTAAATGCTTAAGTTGATAGACCATGTCTCCATAGATACAACAGAAAATGAAGTTATTCTTCGATAAATTCATTTGAAGGACTGAACTGACAATTCAACTGCCATCGGAAGTCCACTGGTCATCTACGTTATAGACGGTTAAAGTGGGTGTTGAGTACACGGTCTTAGTGATAAAACAAACATTTATTCACTCACGATCAAGATAACAGTAGCACTACGAAACTAAAGTTTCCTGACTGGATAGTGTTTTAAGTCTCTTTAGATTGCACTCAGACACAATAACAGCGGTTGCTTTTATTTAAAAAACAAAGGAAAAGTTTGAATAGATCGGATTGTAGAGATTCTAACTGATGCAGCTAAATGAGCATGTAACACTGACTAATTGATGTAAGAAATACAAAAGCGATCTCCGTCAACTGGCCACTGTTCAAAGACTTTTTAAAAACCCTAATTTTAATTATCTGTTCCTGAAGAAAATGGATGGCGAATAGATTGTGTATAGAATGGTAGAGCATTCGAAATTGCAAATGAGCGATCAGATATAAGATATATACGCTAACCGCAGACTGGGATTGTAAATGGTATCATAAATAAAAGCCTTGAGGAAGTTAAAAAGATCACTAACTCTAGGATTAGATACTTCGTTCTTCCTGGCTTATTCGCTGTGTACTAAATGGTAGAAGCATCCTCACAAATGATGGCATGAAAACAAATAGGGTCACCATGCATGTAACTTGCTCCACTAAAGTGAATCGGAAAATATTTTCCAAAATATATGGATATCTTGATGTGACACAAAGGATAAGCATAGATGTTTTAAGAAACATGCTAAGTATATGCTGTACAAACAACGGATTCGACAATAAGTGATTTAAAAATGAACAGTTCTGTTCAGCATCTTTACAATTTCCCAATATCACTTCCAACGAACAGTACTAAAATAAATTTGATTGAGCATTATAGTGTGCACTAACTTACCTTTAATACCTCAAGAAACAAATTCAGGTCTGAAAATAATAAGAATATTGAGGTAGATACTAGAAATACAGTAAGATTAGCATGTTTTAGAAGTGAAAGCGAAAATAATGGACATAAAGTGAAAGTCAGAAGGATAAGTGTGTAGAACAAAATGCTTAATTTCTTTTTATCGCCCAATAATTTATGAACTAGGAATGTATCCCACCGATTGAACTCCTCATTTATCTCACATGCTAACATATCTATGAAGTATAAAAATATCATCAGAAAAATAATAAACCACGGGCTTTGATAGACTGCAATATCTAAGAAGTAACTTGAGAGTAGAAAATCAGATTCGAGTAAGCAAAGTTCATAAAGGAGGTATGTGGAAAATAAAAGGAAGGTAACTACAAAAGTAAAATCGTAATAGAAAAATGTAGCTTTTGTAGATCTACATAAACCCATACTGTATACAGTGGAAGCCTTCAGGTGAATTGCAAACCAGTCAAAAACTTGTTGTCGAATATCGTTCAGTTTTCTTTATTGGCTGAACAAAGGAAAGTTGGTTTGGGACCTGAAACGAAACAACAAGGTAACGTAGTGAGCGCAACAAGAAATAGACAAGAACATTAAAAGTAGTAAAATGAATTATTACACGATAATGAGGAATGCAACAAAATGGAGGGTTGAAGAGAAGAATGAAATAGACTACCGCATTATTTTCAATTGGTATTAAATCAACTTTTGAGCAACTAATTCTTATTCGTACCACTAGAGATTTTTGAGAAAGCCTGGGCTATAAAGAAATGTTGTTACTGAAGACGCGAATAAGAAGTTCGCCGGAAATAGCCAGCCAATAGCAGTCTTGATGTGCATGATAAGCTTGCCAATCACTAACGCAAGCCTTTAAGCTTTAAGTCAAAAGGTGTGCTGTTTAGTAATGAAACAGAAATAAACCACTATCATAATGTACTTGATTGGATAGAAATAAAGGTTTCAAGGGAAAAATAAGTGGCGATTAAGTGATATGACAAAGAGGAAATGTTTACTTTAAGTAGTCAAGCCTCCGGTGGTACCACCTTGATGCTAAGCGTTATAAACCTCCGAACATAAGGGGAGCCCCTCAGTCAACATCAAAGTGAGACCTGGAACTACTGTTTCAGTCTTTACTGGTACCCATTACTTATTTGTCAATAATTTGGTTTTCAATGTGCGGGCCGAAACAATTTATGAAATGTGGGACAAATTTTAGGCAGTGTTGACTAGGTTCTATGGTGACGCTACAAGACGTTTGCATACGCCGACGTACCAATAACGTATGCATCTATAATATTAGTGACTTTATTTGATCACTATAGTTCATAAACTCTCCTCTATATCTATTACCGAAACTTGGTTTTTAGTTAATTTCTAGTTCTAAAGCCTGTATCAGAGGACGAAGTGTATAAAATAGTACTTCTAGTCTCATTAATCGCTTCTATTGAATCATGCAGAGCTCATACAACCGACTGTTCTCCTTGACAGAGATACAAGTTGTGGTCCTGATTCAACCACAAAGAGTCCAATAGTGATAAACAATGTGATAGATTTAAAAAATTCCGTTTGGAGTATATCGTTTTTCAGTAACCAGCTTGTACTAAATTTTAGGCATAGAAACAGTGGTAATTCTAAGGGAAAGAAAGAATTTAAAGAATGCACCAGTTTCCAGAAATTGACAAGAGCTTAAACCGTGATCTACACTTATGCATCTGCTGATTATCGTACAACACAGTGATACATCATCGTAGAAACTCTCATCAAAACCAGTCCGTACAAGTTATTTCCCTTTTAAATAAAATAGGAGGAAGTCAGAGAAGGCAAGAACAAGATTTTATAAACCTTAGTATGCCGGAGGAACCAATAAAATGCCATAAAGAGCATTAAATGAAAGAAAATCAGTGTGGTAATAAGAGGCCGAAATTCTGACGGTTAATGCGTATTTCCTTTCTCAATCAAAAACAGTTTTAGTTGATATTCCTAACTGCAGAATCTCATAATCTCAAAGATACCTCACTTTAGCAAACTCGTGATGAACCTCAAAGATATCCATGAGATGAATAGCGCATCAGAATTGCTTTACATAATAATAGATCTTCATTAAATTGAAACTGAAACTATATAACTTCTCACAACTCATATATAAGGATTCGATGAAGGTTGCTGGGTCAGATAATTGAAGTAATACAACGCACCTTCATATATGTTGATATTCGCTAATTCCTAAAATGATGGATCTCATTACAGAGAATAAAAATACAAGAATGAAGCGGCACACTAGCGCACTCAGTATATTCGAAAACCCAGACCGTTTTGCTCTTTCAAAACGCCCGATTCTGGTGCATAACACACATTAAATATCTAAAAGGGTAACTTCAAAAGTGATAGCATTTGTATAGCCGCAGTTATCAGAAATTTCTTGTAACTTTATACAAATATATAAGTTCGAATAGTGCTACGGTAATTCAAATCATAGTCATGGTTGTTTTAGACTTCAGTAGCTACTTTTGGACAGTAATAATAAAAATTAAATGGTTACTAAGAGGACTAGCTGAGAAGTGTAGTCAGTCAATAAACTAAAATATGCACATTTTCTACTCACCAGGTCATCTGGTAGTGTCTAGTAACATCTATATGCCAGTTTTGTCAGTCAATTATATTATATTAACTTTATCCTAAATTTGGAATACAGGTAATGAAAGATGTGTTTACTGTAACAGGTGAATGTAGAAACCGGGCAAAAAAGAAATACAAATAAAACAGTAGTTGAATGGACTGTTAGTGCGAACATGTGCGGCAATTTGCTACCAATAACCATGGATTTGAATTTTACACAGATATAACCACACGTCTTATTTACAGTGAAAAGGTAGATAGTTATTTAGAAGAAAACATATAAGCGAACAGTAGTTTTCAATTAGCTTTCACCAGGCTTTACGCTAACATACATAAATTTTCTCATACGACTGGTTTGTTTTATATACGAGAAAATTCATGTATATTAGCGTAAAGCCTGATGAGAACTAATTGAAAGCAATATTAATCGTTAATGTCTTCTCATTTTAACAATGAGTATTCTTAGCATTCTTAGATAGTTAGTCACATGAAACTAAAAAGCGAAAGACAACTGCTTAATGCATTCTACAAGTCTAATTTGAACTGAGACCTACTTTAGTTAATTCCGACTGAGGTGAGTGATAGCAAATGGGAAATAAACTCAGCAACTATTTCAAACTGATCACAAAAAGTGATGAACGGCAAGGGCAAAGGTGAGGAGAGAATAAAAAAATACATAAAAACTGTTTTTCATAAATCAATACAAAATCTAGTTAGTCTGAAAGAATTATGCTGATATGCCGCCACCATAAAACTAAGCAATTAATATGATGAAACCGTCAAAATATGGTTAAAAATAGGAACCAGAATCAAGATGAATCCTTCTAAACACCTAATTAGACTGCAACCAGAATAACATAGGGGATATTGTAGATGAACAGCACACATTGATACTGGTTGTCAGCTTTGCATCTATCACTAAATGAATAAAAGACAGTGGAGATTTGATGATTATACATCTACTCGTACTGCGAACGAATATGCATGCGGAATCGACATTTTATGCGGTTTGACACTAAGTCCCCCCGTCATAAATGCCACTGCTCTGACTTTCAATAAATACCACAAAATATTGCACACCGTGGAACAGTTGTACGTGCTAGGCTGTGAACCACATCGAGTGCATGAGGTTTTCAGACACTAACGGTTTCCACGGAGGAATTAGAACTAAACGACAGGAAAAGTTGCTGCATAGTCGAATAGTGAAGCCGATAAGTCATGGAATAAGGAATAACTTGCTGCAATCTTGTACGAAATTCTATGCGGATCCCCCCCCCACACCCACACATTCTTATGAAAAAGTGAAGTAGCTCAGTTGGATACATCTCTACTAATTACTCCGTATTCTCATTTTATGCTGAATACATTTCACACCCTCTAATGACTACTTTTTCTTTCCAATTCAATCCGTTTGCTGCTATCACAACAGTTAACTTAAATCACCTGTTTCAACTTCACTAAAAAGTTCTTTCATTTACCAGATGACCAAGAAATAAACACGTTTTCCCACATTACTGGTAGAATAATCTTCAACGTGTATGGTAGTAGTGTGAAAATATCATCGAAGATGTGAAATACTCAATCTCTAATGGGTTTATTCAAATTTAGTGAGAACGAATTGATTCAGTTCAAATTCAATGAGATAAACCAACAGACCCACTCTATGTCGATCTAAAATGAGAAAACAACAACTCTTACCCCACACTCCAAAATTAAGGGATATACAATGAGGAGAAGAGTAGTGAAAAAAAATCTTAGGCAGCCAGCCCCGGGTTTTACAGTAGCCTTCCTGGATTTTAATTTGTCGTTTTCTTAACTTTACACGTATTTGCTGTGATTAAAATTGATTACTGCACAAATAGAAGTATATGGATAAGAAATAGCAATGCAGTTGTATTCATTCAATCTAGAAGTCTCGTATAACAGGAATGTAGAATCACCATGATTACAACTAGTTGAATGACTCAAGCACAGTATAGCTAAAAAGAGCTGTCTCAAGCAGATATTTAGTCAACAATTTCGTTGGGTCAAAAAAGTAACGTTGGGCCGTGAATCTGATGTGGGGCCAGATGTAGTGCACATGGGGCCAAACGTTGCGCCACTTTTTAAGTCGGGCCAATGGGGCTTGTTGTAGGGCCAATAATCACTACATGGGGCCGAACGTAGGGTCATTTGTAAAAACTTACGGCCAGGCGTAGGGACAAGTGTAGGGCCAAAAGTAGTCGCACCAGACGTGAGGAAAATTTTTCGAAATCCTACACCTGGCCGTGCATTCGGCCCGACATTTTCTATAGTGAGTAGCCTAAGAGTCCCCTACATGGTCCTATGGAAATATTGACTGGGATTGTTGTCTATTTTATAAAACAGACGTGACATAAGTACTGAAAAAAGACGTCATGAGAAAAGGAAAAGGACCAGCATAATTCCTAATCATTTAAACTCTTCTTCAGCATAATGTTACCTCTTTATTCTTCGTTCTTACTCATTATTGCCAGTTTGTGAGGTGTGATTAAGTTTGGGTATAAGAGGGAAGAAATATATAAGACAGTAAAACTTACAACCAATGAGTGATATGGTAGTCTCTGACGGAAAAGCGCATTTAGTTA